GCTAGGTAGTCCCAGCAGGCACAGCATTGAGCAGCTACTCAATGCATTATGGCAGAGCCTCCTTATGACAGTGATCCTCATCCAGCCTCCCAAGCGCTGGGATTGTGGGCCTCTACTATAGGCACAGCATTGAGTAGCTACTCTGGGAGTTGCCTTATGGCAGAGCCTCCTTATGACAGTGATCCTCATCCAGCTTCCCACGCGCTAGGATTGAGGCCCTACCTGTGCTTTAGAATCACCAGGGAGTACTTGCTGGGCTTGGTGGCGCATATCTGCAATCCCAAAGGCTTGGGAGGCTAAGGCAGGAGATTGTGAGTTCAAAGCCAGCCTCAGCAAAAGTGAGGTGCTAAACAACTCAGACCCTGTCTCTAAATAAATGCAAAGTAGGGCTGGAGATGTGGGTCAGTGGGTGAGCACCCCTGAGTTCAATCCCTGGTACCAAAAAAAAAAAAAAAGGTAGAAGTACTTGAGCCCTGCCCCCCAGACTCTGGATAAATTGATCTTGGGTGGAACTGAGGCAGCAGAGGTTTTTAAGTTTTAAAAGCTTTTAAGGTCATTCAAGGCGTCTCCAAGGCGGAGGCCTGCCTGATGAGCACAGCAGTGCCCTCGCCCCGTCCGTCAGTGTTAGAAGTCTGGCACAGGCCATCCAGGCTCTCCGATCTTTGAGTCATCGAGGAGAAGTTGGGAAAGACCAGGGTGGAGAGTGGTGGCTGGAGGCGGGGTGGAGGGTGTAAAGGAGGAGGAGTGGAGGTGACACTTCTGTACGCAGTTCAGTTGGAGCTGGAGAAGTCTTGACAGCCACTGGCTGCGCATTACACAGTCTGTGGCAAACGGGAAAACTGGGGGCACAGATTTACAGTGTGGCCTGCAGGTGGCTGGGGAGCCCTTCCAAGTCTGTCAGGTGATCTGCAGGTGCCTTGGCAGCTTCAGGGGAAAAATCAAGTCATTTTATTCAGACATATTTTACTAATGAACATTAATTTTGAATTTCACTGGAATCATATTCTTAGTAATCTTTATCTTCTTCAGGATTGCATTTGTGCTGGAAAAACTGTCTTGGCTAGGATTTGGCCAGCTGAGGGCAGTTTGTCTCATCTAACATATTGTTGTTATCTGCCATTATTCATGTAAATGCATTTATTTTATTTTATACAGTGAGGGTGAAAATAGAGATGGAGGACCAGGCAAGGTGGATGTCAAGTTCAAGGCCTCAACAATTTAGCAAGGCCTTAAGCAACTTAGCCAGACCCTGTCTCAAAATAAAGCATAAATAGGACTGGGGTGTGGCTCAGTGGTTCCATCCCCAGAATCCCCCTCACCAAAAAAAGAAATAGAATGAATCAGGGAAACATTAACACTCATAAAAACATTGGAGATGTAAATAGTGAATGGGATTCCAGAGCAAGTATGAAGTGTATATTTGTAATGATGCTACCAGTGATTCCTCAAGTAGAATGGCTTACCTCAAGGGGCCAGAAAGGAAAGAAGATCGGTAAGTGTCTGAAATTAGATTGATGGACTAGTAGTCCATTCAACCCTACTGCACTGTATACTGTCCATTCTCTGCTATTTTTAAACCAACCTAGGTCAACCTGTTAATCCAAAGTTGTGCTTCTCAAGGTGAGATTGATGAATTCTACAGTGAAATGAGAAAAGAGGCTCAAAGCACAGAAATGATATCCAGAACTCTGCTTCTCACAGAGCAAACAGGGTTCCTGAAAGCTCATGACAGGTGTGTTGCTCAGAGAAATACAAATGGGGTGTTGGCAAAGTTTCTTCAGTGAGTGGATGTTGTGTGATTCTCTGGTATAGTGTGGAAAGCAGTTGCTTTCAGATGTTTGTGCTTGCAGATCTTTTACTTCACATCTGGGCAGAACAGTGATGTGGAGATTATTAATCAGCTCTTTGCAATGGGTGGTACTTGTCTGATATTGGATTGCTTGATGAGGTTTTGCTTAAAGAAAGTCCATGTTGTAAGAGAAGAATGTTTAATTTTTGGTTAGGGATTATATTGTGAGCCATGAAGGAGAATGAAAAAGGTGTGTTGGGATCATTTGTAACAGAAGAAAGGACAGAGGATATTGCTACATGAACAAAAGGGTTGCGCTAGAATGTGACTGGACCACAGTTGGTGGTCTGCACTCTCTCCTGACCCTGACAGTAGTTGAAAGAAATAGTGAAAAGTGTGACAATGTCTACTGAAATGAAGAAAATGGGCAGTGATGTCCTGGAGGTGAAGGTGCCTCAGAAGATTTTGGAAGATGGTATCTGAGTTTAAAACCTATCTTCGTCGGGCTGGGATGTGTATAGCTCAGTGGTAGAGTGCTTGCCTTGCACGATAAAATAAAACCTATCTTCATGACACTGCTTAGTGTCTGTAAAAGCCATTTTTGTCGTTTAGGTGACCTTCTCAAATAATATGCTATTTCAGGGCTGAGGATTAAGCTACTTAATAATAAGTACAAGAAATTGTAGTGTCTCCTAGGTCTGTCCCTGTCTTCTGTATTAGTCAGCTTTTGCTGCTATAGTGAAGTTGTTGAAGCAGGCTACTTATGTAGAAAAGAGGCTTATTTGCCTCACAATTTTGGGGATTCAAGGACATGACACCCACATCAGCCCAGTTGGGATGAAGGCCCTCTTGGCTACATGACATCATGGCAGATGGTGATGACAGGAATGTGTGTGGGAGCAAGCGATTAATCCTTAAGAAGCAGCAAAAGAGCTGGGTTGGGCCAGGCTCAGGCTTGAAAACCACCCTTTGGAATCCCTTCCCTGGGCAGGGTGCTCAGTGACTTGAGCATCTCCCTCCAGCCCCACCTCCTAGAGGTTCTGTCAGCTCCACATCTTCCCAAGGGGACCAAGCCTCTAACACATGCACTCCTCGGGAGCAAACACACATTGAGACAGTGGCATTATTTCCAGCTATAGTCCTGGTGCCTTGTAGTGTCACAAAGAGCTAATCAACATTTTCTGAATGAGTAGACTTTTACTCATTAGAGAAAGAATTATAGGTTATGTTTTAAAACCATATCCAAGTGCTGTAGAATGCTTGCCAAATACAACCCAAAAGTAGAATGGGCATCTATTTATTGCCCTCCTCTCCAATGGAGCATTTAGCCTAATCTTCCAGCTCTCAAATTTAATGTGTACGCTGATTTATTTTAACAAGCATTGAAAGAGATCTTGGTGAAAAATCAGTCCCTAATTTCTAGGATCATGTTGAATCTCAACCCCCAGATACATCTGAGAGGTTCCAAGTACGTGGGGCTCCTCTGGTGATGTCTGTGTGAGTTAGGATTTTCCAATTTAGAAGAAATACACAGTAAGAAAAGAAACTAGTGTCCGATGTGCAGTAGCTGAGTACTCTGAACAGTGCTCACCCTCCTCAGTGATAAAGTATCATGTTTAGTTTATCACTTAACCTTCTGAGGAATTTGATTTTGTATTTGCCTGTAACTGGTGGTTGCTATGGGGTCAGATGCCCGTTAGGTTTGATAAATGATGGCCTAGAGATAGACAAAACATGTTCTCAAATTATTCTTACATAAAAAACATTATACAAAGTCACAAATGTCCTTTTCTTGGATTCTGGGATGTGGTTCAAAAATATATATATGACAAAGGACAGATGTACTCTTGTCATCAGATGTCACTGTTGAGGAAGTGTTAGAATAAGAACCTCAGCTCTGGGGTCTGCACATTGAACAGGTTCCATGCCAGGGGCTGCCACGCTCTGTCTACCAAAGGCCAAGAAGCAAGCCCTGGCTGGGTAGCCAGCCCCTCTGGGCCCCAGCTCTGGGGTGGGGACATAGCAGCAGAAAGCTTAATGTCCCTGAGTATGAATGGCTGGGCATGGGCCATGAGCCTGTGGCCCAGCACCCCTGTGCCCACAGCTGCATCCACCCAGCAGAAGTTCAGTGGCCACACAGCCTGTGTTTTTCAGGGTGGCTGATAAGAGCTCAGACATAACTGGATAGCTTTACTGCAAACCATTTGACCAGACGTCTGTCTTCCACCAAAGATCAAAAGAAGGAAGAAGGAGCAGGAAGGTGATGGGTATTGTGTCTCTTTGAATGTCATTTTGAGAAGAACTGGTTAAAAGCAGTTTTAATTTATTTGCCTTCAAGAAATGAAAGCTACCTTATAATTATTTCAGCTGGTTGACACACCTAATGTCTGAAGTAAACTCGAAGAGGTGACGGTCCATTCATAGCCCAGGTGGTAGCACCAGAAAAGGTCTAACAGGCCCCAGTGTGAGCCCCAGCTTGGCCACCCAGCAGCTTGGGGGAGTGACCTAACCCTGGTATCTTGACCTCAGTTTCTTATTTATAAAATGGGTCAATTGAACTTAATAATTCCGTCCTCCTCTCCACATAGTATGATAAATGAAGTGCTTTTCAGTTTTCCTAACTGCATCCCAAATCTGCTCTGGGTTCTCTGAGAAACATCTTCATCCAGAAGATTTTCTTACATTAAAATATCCTCCCCCTCCTGCCTCTCCCTGTCATGACTCAGTCACTTCACCTGATTTACTCTCCTCCTCACCTCATCTGGAGTTATGAACTCTTATGGCTGTTCTTAAAATGGTGATTTCTTCAACTATATTTTAAGTGCTGTGAATTTACCCTGTGTGTGTTCTTAAACTGCACAGCCATATTGACAATGGCTTTGAAAATTTCAGATTTCCTTTGGCAGGATTAACCTCCAACAACTTAATATCCCTTTGCCATCTGGAAACTCTGAATAGAGCAGCAAGGTGACAGCTCCACAGGAGGCCCCCTGCCCTGGGGCCACTGAGTGTTAAGCACATTTCGTCACAGCCTGTCTTGTCTCACAACTTCCTATGATGTGAAAACAAGTCATGGAAAATTTCTAAGGCATCTTCTCTTTAAAACTACAGATGATCTTAGAAGCAGAGTGAGTTATCAGTCTGCCAGGTCCAAACACTAGTGTAGGAGACAGAATCATAGACCAAAATTAGTCTGAAAGATGAACTTGAGAGCACAAGGTTTCTAATTTCATGAAATATGACTCTTTAGCTATTTTAGAGCAGTTGTTGACTATCATTTATTTATTGTATTACAAAAGTGAAGACAGCAGATCTCTGTGGATCCAGTAACATTTTGGAAGCAAAGTTAAAACATTGTTTACTTTGGCTTTCACAAAAGTCCTGAGCTTAGAAACATTTTGAGCCCCAGAAAAATTTTTTTTGTTTTAGTCATAATTAAAAAAAATAGCCCTAGTCATTTGTTATAGTGTTGAATCTCTTAATTTTCTGGTTTCTCTTTTCAGATTCTTTATTGAGAGATTGTACAGTAGAGAAGGTGCTAAGAAATGAGGCGCTGTGCTTCTTGGTGACTGGGCTGGGCGTGGGGACGGGCAGTGTGTGGGGAGGGGGAGCCTCCCCAGGTGCACACCCCTGGTAGCAAAGTCATGTTATGGATTCTGCACCAGCTTTCTGCATCTTCTATAAAAAAAATTACCTCAAATTTGGTGGCTTTAAACAGTAGAAATTGTCTCTGATTCCTCTGGAGGCCAGACATCTGAAGTCAGGGGAGGCCCATGCTTCCCCGCAAAGCTCTTGGGGACAGTCTTGTTCCTGACCTGTTCCAGCTTCTGGTGGCAACTGGTGTGCCTTGGTTTGTGGCTGTGTCACACCAAGTCTCAAGGCCGGCATCTTTGCTAGGAAGTCTGGGGGTGTTAGGAGGTGGGGCATTTAGCTCATGGGGGGGGGCTTGTAATGAATTAGTGCTTTATGAAAAGACTCGGAACCACTCCTTTCCTCTCCCTCTCTGCTCTCTACCATGTGAAGATACAAGAAGAAGGTAACCAGCTATCACTAGGAAGAGGGCTTTAATAACAACCCACCCGTGTTGCTCTAGACTGCTAGGCACCAGAATCGAGAGAACAAACTTCTGTTGTTTGTAAGGCACCCAGTCCATGGTACTTTGTCCTACCAGCCTGAATTAAGACAGTCTTCACCTCTCTCTGCCCTGTCATTACATCTCTGTTGGTCAGCTCTCCCTTGTCCACTCTTATGTGGACATTTGCAATTGCATTTAGGTTCCACCCTGATAAATCCAGAACTATTTATCTAATCCAAGATCCTCAAATTAATCACATCTGCAAAGGACCCCCCCTTCTCACCCTTATTTTTCCTTCCCTCCCTTATTTTCCCTTCCCTTCCTTCAGTTTTGGTCATTTCTAGGCTCCAGGAGTTAGGATGTGGATGACTTTTAGGGGCCAAGTTTTAGCCTCTCACAGACTCCATTTATTCCAAATGAGTCAAATAAATATCAAAACTTACTATCTCTCTGGGCTAAGTGGCTCTCGCATCTTCTCAGCCTGCTCCATTTCTGATATCATCCGATAATGTTAAGAATAAGGCCTTTGGGCTCAGGCAACCTGTGTTGGAATCCCTACTATGCTCCTACTGGTTCCAGGACTAGGGCAGGTTGCTTAAGCTCTTCATGCTTTTGTTTGCTCATCTACAAATGGCAGATAATATTATACTTGTTTGTAAGGCACCCAGTCCATGGTACTTTGTCCTACCAGCCTGAATTAAGACAGTCTTCACCTCTCTCTGCCCTGTCATTACATCTCTGTTGGTCAGCTCAGTAAGCTAAAGAATTAAAAAAGTATTAGGATGTATTATGTGCATGACACTTAATAACTATAATGATGAACAAATGAGTGTGGTCCTGGTCCTCATGGACACGTAGTCTGGTTGGAGAAATGGTTATTAGTCAAATATTCTCCAAAATATAATACCACACACTGGTAAATGCTGCACAGGAGAGGTTCCCAGCAGAGTCTAAGGAAAAGTGCGTCCAAGGAATTGATGTGGAAGCTGAGGTCTGAAGGGTTGTGTGCAGAGAGAGAGCCTGTGGGTTGGAAAGGGCTTGTGGGAATTAAAAGAAGTGTTTGTAGAATTTAGTGATCTGTGGGAAGATTGGGATGAAAAAAGATTGGTGACATTATCAGGGATCAGGTGAGACTGGGCCTTCTAGTATCTGAGCTTTGTCCCAAGAGTATTGGGAAGATCAGTGGGTTTAAGAAGTGTGTGTGTGTGTGTGTGTGTGTGTGTGTGTGTGTGTGTGTGTTGAGGGGGGCATGAGGTGATCTGATTTGTTTTTACAGGCTTGCCCTGGTCTCTGGTTGGGGAATGGATGGACAGAGAAAGGACTTAGTGGCAGTAGAATGGTGAGGTCAGAGTTGTGGCCTCAGTCCAGGCCAGAGGCCAATGTAGATTAAAGAGTGTGCTCGTGCAGACGTAAGATGTGCTCTCAAGAATGCGGGGTGAGAGTGTCCTAAGTGGGGAGCTGCTGAGGAAGAGAGATGTCCAGGACAACCCCCAAGTTTCTGGCATAAACAGCTAGATGGATGGGGGCCCATTGGCTAAGGTGGGGACAGGAAGAGGGGCAGATCTGAAGGAAAGCTTCTGAGTTCAAGTTGGTATGTGTTAGGTTCAGGAAGCC